GAGTTTATTCAGTGTACATGAATAAAGCGCAGTAAGCGTCAAAACGAAACTAGCACAAGGGAAAATCCACCTTGGCTACATACAAGGAAAGTGTAGCTCAACCGAGCTACTCTCACAATGAACAATCACTCACAAAGGACAAGGGGGCAGAGGGAACACATACACAGACTAATGAGGGAATGAGTACCAGGTGTGTGTGATTGACAAGACAAGACAAGACAAATGGAGTGATGATAAATGGAGCGGTAGTGCCTAGTAAGCCAGTGACGACGAACGCAGAAACTTGCCCGAGCAAGGAGGGGCAGCCTCGGCTGAATTCGTGACAGTACCCCCCCCCCTTGACGCGCAGCTCCAGCAGCGCGCCGACCCTGGCCTCGGGGACGGCCAGGAGGACGCGGAGCACGGCGAGCCGGATGGCGACGATGGAAGTCCCTCAACAGAGAGGGATCGAGGATATCCCTCACCGGGACCCAGCACCGTTCCTCCGGACAGTACCCTTCCCACTCCACGAGGTACTGAATGCCCCCCACCCGGCGCCTCGAATCCAGTATGGAATGGACAGAGTACGCCGGTGCCCCCTCGTTGTCCAAAGGACCAGCCACCAACGGCCTGAGGAGAGACACATGAAACGAGGGGTTAATACGGTAATCAGTTAACCTCGTTGATTCTCCTCAGGACTTTGAACGGCCCTACAAACCGCGGGCTCAACTTCCGGCAGAGCAGGCGGTGGGGCAGATTCCGGGTCGAGAGCCAGACCCGATCCCCCGGTACAAAGACGGGGGCCTCACTGCGGTGACGGTCAGCGTTTTCCTTCTGACAACGCACGGCGCGTTGGAGGTGAACATGGGCAGCGTTCCAAGTTTCCTCCGCGCGCCAAAACCAGTCATCCACCGCAGGAGCTTCGGTCTGGCTCTGGTGCCAACGTGCCAGAACCGGTTGATAACCTAAAACACACTGAAATGGCGTTAGGTTCGTAGAGGAGTGGCGGAGAGAGTTCTGGGCATATTCTGCCCATGGCAGGAACACCAACCACTCCCCCGGCCGGTCCTGGCAATAGGACCTCAGGAACCTACCCACATCCTGATTTACCTGTTCCACCTGCCCATTATTCTCAGGGTGGAACCCAGAGGTCAGGCTGACCGAGACTCCCAGACGTTCCATGAATGCCTTCCAGACTTTTGACGTGAACCGGGGACCTCGGACAGACACTATATCCTCTGGTACCCCGTAGTGCTGGAAGACGTGTGTAAACAGGGCCTCCGCAGTTTGCAGAGCCGTGGAAGGACCGGGCAGAGGAAGGAGGCGGCAGGCCTTCGAAAAGCGGTCCACAACGACCAGGATGGTGGTGTTCCCTTGAGAGCGAGGCAGATCAGTTAAAAAATCAACACTCAAATGAGACCATGGTCGTTGTGGAACAGGTAAAGGTTTTAACTTACCCGCTGGGAGGTGGCTAGGTGCCTTACTCTGGGCGCACACTGAGCAGGAGGAAACATACACCCTCACGTACTTAGCCAAGGTAGGCCACCAGTACTTTTCGGTCAGGCAGCGCACTGTACGACCGATACCTGGGTGACCAGAGGAGGGTGACGTGTGTACCCAGTAGATCAGTTGATCACGGATAAGCGCAGGCATGTACTGCAGCCCAGCTGGACATTGCGGTGGAGATGGATCTGTGCGTAATGCCTGCGCTATATCCGCGCCCATACTACCGGCGCCACAATGCAGGAGTCTGGCAGTATGAGGGTATTGTCTCTGGGCCTCTCCTCTGTATCATACAGCCGGGTCAGTGCGTCTGCCTTCACGTTCTTCGTACCCGGAATGTATGACAGTGTGAAATCAAACCTGGGTGAAGAATAGGGCCCACCTGGCCTGGCGAGGGTTCGGCCTCCTCACTGCCCTGATGTACTCCAGGTTACGGTGGTCCGTCCAGACGAGGAATGGGTGTTTCGCCCCCTCGAGCCAATGTCTCCACACGGTGAGAGCTCGGACAACAGCCAACAGCTCCCGATCACCAACGCCGTAGTTCTGCTCCGCCGGGCTGAGCTTCTTTGAGAAGAACGCACAGGGGCGGACCTTGGGTGGCGTGCCCAAGCGTTGAGACAGGACTGCTCCCATCCCCACCTCGGACGCATCCACCTCCACTACGAACGGTAGTGATGGATCAGGGTGGGCCAGTACCGGGGCCGAGGTGAACAGTTCCCTCAGGTTACTGAAGGCCCTGTCAGCCTCAGCAGACCAGCGGAGCCGGGACGGCCCACCCTTCAACAGAGATGTAATGGGAGCTGCGACCTTGCCAAAGCCCCGGATAAACCTCCGATAATAGATGGCGAAGCCAAGGAAGCGCTGCAACTCCTTTACCGTGGTTGGAGTCGGCCAATTACGCACGGCTGCAATGCGGTCGCCCTCCATCTCCACACCTGTGGTAGAAATGCGGTATTCGAGGAAGGGGACGGACTGCTGTAAAAACATACACTTTTCTGCCTTAGCATAAAGGTCATTTTCCAACAGTCGGGCCAGTACTTTGTGAACCAGGGACACATGCTCGGCGCGCGTAGCAGAATACACCAAGATGTCATCGATGTAGACCACTACACCGCGACCAAGCATGTCCCGAAACACCTCGTTCACAAAGGACTGGAAGACTGAGGGAGCATTCATCAAACCATAGGGCATCACCAGGTATTCATAATGCCTCGTGGTTGTGCTGAATGCTGTCTTCCACTCATCTCCCTCTCAGATACGCACCAGGTTGTACGTACTCCTGAGATCTAATTTAGTGAAGAAGCGCGCTCCATGCAATGACTCAACCACTGACGGAATGAGGGGGAGAGGATAACTAAATCTAATCGTCTCCTTGTTCAGTGGTCGATAGTCAATGCACGGGCGCAGACCGCCGTCTTTCTTCTTCACAAAAAAGAAACTCGAGGAGGCGGGTGAAGTGGAGGGAGGTATATACCCCTGGCGCAGGGACTCGGTGACGTATGTCTCCATAGCCTCCGTCTCCGCCTGCGACAAGAGATACACATGACTCCTGGGAGGTACAGCATCTACCCGAAGGTTTATTGCGCAATCCCCCACCCGATGAGGTGGCAATTTAGTTGCTTTATTCTTGAAGAAAACTTGTGCCAGATCATGGTATTCGGGGGGAATGCGCACGGTGGAGGCACCGTCTGGACTTTCCACCGTGGTTGCACCAACGGAAACACCCATACACCTACCCTGACACTCTCGCGACCACCCCGTGAGAACCCTCTGCGGCCATGAGAAAGTGGGGTTGTGGAGTGCTAGCCACGGAATACCTAACACCACAGGGAAAGCAGGAGACTCAATGATGGAAAGTGACCTGCTCACAATGCGTCTCCTGTGTGATCATGGTGACTGGTACTGTCACTTCCTTTATCAAGTGCTCTGATGGGGCGTGGAATGGATAGGGGAATTAATGAAATGCCCTGGCGGCGTGCAAAAGTTTTATCCATAAAGTTCCCAGCTGCGCCTGAATCTACTAGTGCCTTACACTTGGGAACTCTCATGTAATCAGGAAAGTATATGGGTAGGGTACAGTGCACAGCAGAGGGCTCTGAACAAGTGTGGGTGCTCAATACCTGGGGTGATGCGAGAGTGCCCTGCCGGCCGCCTCCTGACCCAAAAGAGCGCTGACGACAACGTGTGGTGGAATGTCCCTTCGTGCCTACCGATTGGCACTGGCGCTGTCGTCCTCCGCTCTCTCGGTGCGCGGCACCACCCAGCTCCATGGGCTCTGGATCCGCGTCGGTTGGGACGGGAACGGGCAGCCCTCATCCAGGACGTCCTCTGGTTGCCAGCAGGTTGTCCAGACGAATGACCATGTCCACCAGTTCGGTAAAAGACAAACTGGTGTCACTGCAGGCTAACTCCCGTCGGACGTCTTCCCGTAGATGGCACCGGAACTGGTTGATCAGGGCCCGCTCATTCCACCCGGACCCTGCTGCCAGGATCCGGAACTCCAGCGCGAACTCCTGTACTGTCCTCGTCCCTTGTCTCAAGTGGACCAGCTGCTCACCCGCCTCTCGACCCTCGGGTGGGTGATCTAAAACCGCCCGAAATAGGCAGGCAAACTCCCTGTAGTCCTCCAACGCGGCTCCTCCTTCTCTCCAAACCGCGTTGGCCCACTCCAGGTCTTTCCCCGAGAGGCAGGAAATGAGGACGGACACCTGCTCTCGATCTGATGGCGCCGGCCTGACACTGGAGCAGTACAGCTCCAGTTGGAGAAGGAATCCCTGACACAGAGCCGGCGTCCCATCGAACGCCCGAGGTCGGGATATCTGGATCCCTCCGGGTGCTGTGATGTAGGTGGCTGGATCTGGTTGGCCAGCTGGTCTCGACAGATCGGTTCCTCTTCTCTCCAGGCGTTGGACGACCTGAAGAACCCGATCCATCGCTTCCCCCAAGCTGGCCAGCATCGTGGAATGCTCCTAGACCCATGCCACGATTCCAGGTGTGCACTCTTCTCCAGCTGACTCCATAGCGGGTGAGTGATTATGTGATGAGGTGTGAATGACGGAGTCAGGTGCAGGAGGTAAAAACACGAGAAATCCAGAGTTTATTCAGTGTACATGAATAGAGCGCAGTAAGCGTCAAAAACGAAACTAGCACAAGGGAAAATCCACCTTGGCTACATACAAGGAAAGCGTAGCTCAACCGAGCTACTCACTCTCACAATGACTCACAAAGGACAAGGGGGCAGAGGGAACACTTATACACAGACTAATGAGAGAAAGAGTACCAGGTGTGTGTGATTGACAAGACAAGACAAGACAAATGGAGTGATGATAAATGGAGCGGTAGTGGCTAGTAAGCCGGTGACGACGAACGCCGAAACCTGCCCGAGCAAGGAGGAGGGGCAGCCTCGGCTGAATTTTAACACTAGCCCATAATATAATAGCTAGCTATAGCAGGTGCGATTTGAGAAGCGTATTGATAGTATTTAAACTCAGTATTATATTTTGTCTACTAGTTCTTACCTTGGTTTCCTTCACCCCCACTGCACTCTGGTCAGAAGTATAGAATAAATTACAAGTTATTTCATTAAGTAGCATTGCTTCCTCGACCTGTTGGACAATCAACAGAGATTGTGAAGAACGTTTCAATGAGGAACCCGTGTCAAGCCAACTAAAAAAAAAAAGTTGAATTGAACTGAGGACAGGTAGATGACAGACAAGTAAGTGCAGAGAGAGAAAACAGGTGAGTAGTACACAAAATGCATAGTGGAGTTTCCATGACAAGATTTAGGCTCAGGCTGAAGCATTTGTTTTATACTTATAAACTGATATTTAATTATAGGTATTCAGGTTCCAATTTCTTTCAACCTTTTACATTTTTTAATTTTTCAGATCAAAATTATACTGTTGTATGTCAAGGCTCACAAATGAGTTGATGATTTTGATGATTATCAAAGCTGATCTACATTATGATAATATAGCATAATATAATACTACAATACGAATATAATACTATATAATAATATAGCCTGCACAGGTACTACGGATGAAAATGAGCTGTTTAGCTAAATCTGGAACTATTACTAATACTAAATAAATACATAAATGACAATTCAATTAAATAAATTACAATTCAATCTTTCTATATATGTGGCCTACTCAACAGTCCATAGCCTAGGCCTTGTGTACTCTCTACATGGAAACTCCAGGATAGAGTCAAAGAAATTGAGACAGACTTCAATCTGCAGAAGAGGATTAGACTTTATGGAAAATAAAATAAATTGGTTAAAATGTGAGGAGTGAAATTATAAGGTAAGTACTACACTACACACAAAGAGAGAGTGAAAGAGAGAGAAAGCACGAGAGATAGAAACAGTTATTCGTTTTAAGTATTTGTTTTGATTATTAAAGAACACTGCTTGAAAGGAGAGAGAAAGAAGAAAACAAGAGGAATCGATTGTTCCATTTTAAATTAGTGTCTGCTGCGTTGAGGAATACATTTTCTCCAGCGTCCAGCTAATTCTCCCCATTCTACAAGGAGATACAAAAAACATGGACATATTAACGTTGGGAACAGTGGTGGGTTGGGGATGGGATGGGAGGTAGGGAAGGGGACAAGAGAGGGACTGTGGGAACTGGGAATGTTTCACATAACAGACATGGTTTGTTAGACGCTGTCAGCCACGGAGGAGACGTCTCACCAAGAACTTCCGTTTCTGTTTCCAGTGGTTGCCCTGGGCGTTAGTTGACATGTGGGCCTCGGTGACCATGCGGATCAGGTCCCACTCCTCCTGGGACGGCTCAGGCCGGTCCCACACCGTCTTCTGGAGCTCCTCCTTCCGCCGCCGCTCACGGTTCTCCTCGATCAACTTCCGCTTGGCGAGCCGCTTGCTGTCGTCCAGCACCACTGGGAGGGGAGTGGGGTAGAGGAGGGGAGGAGGAGGAGGGTGAGGGGTTAGGGATCAGGGGGAAGGGTGAAGTGGTAGGGCGAGGGAGGGTTAAAGAGGGAGGCAAGAAGTCCCGAATGAGGAGGGGATTAAGAGGGAGGAAGGGAGGGGTTTTGTCAAGTATCAAGCGAAAAAGAAGCGAGAAAGTAAGTCTACAATTTAAAACACATAGGGGCCATACAAAGTTTCAAGGTTAAGTTTAATCATCAGCCAATTAAAGTCGATGACACAGTGTCACGTGATAGAACGCTACATTGTAGCTGGTCCCATCAGATAACCTGGAACACGTTAGCCCTATGCTAACCTAACCAGGTGGCTGTGATTATTTCAGCTTATCAAAGATCTTAAACTCTTTCTCCACAAACCACTGGCAGTTCTTAAAATAGGTCAACTCGGCCACCAGAGGGATACATTTTACATGTATCCCTCTGGTGGCAGAGTTGACCTATTTTAAGAAATGCAATTTTCTAATGTACGCAAGTATGGCCCAATACAATTTACAATACATACAAGATACAATTTAAATCATATGCACTCTGCCTCTGATATTTACACTGATATTATCATAATATCCGTCATTTCAAGTATCTGTCAATAAATAAATAATAATACAAATTCAAGTAAAAACAGAGATAACATTATAGAAATTATAGAAATTGCACAATAAAACAGGACTTTTTCGGATCTAAGAATGAATTAGCTTTTTAGAGTATTTGTAAAGAGTAACATTTAAGAATGAGGTAGGTTGGCAGTCTATATCTGTTATGTTGAGTCATGACATTAGTTCTCTCTATCTCTGTACTCTGAAATAGACAGGTTAAGCAGCTCTCCGTGATGAGCCACCTGGCAGGCTAGGCACAGTCATCAAGTTCAGTTAGCAGATCTCTCAGGTAGATTGGAGCATACAGTACCAGTCAAAAGTTTGGACACACCTACTCATTCAAGGGTTTTTCTTTATTTTTACTATTTTCCATATTGTAGAATAATAGTGAAGACATCAAAACTATGAAATAACACATATGGAATCATGTAGTAACCAAAAAAGTGTTAAACATATCAAAATATATTTTATATTTGAGATTCTTCAAATAGCCACCCTTTGCCTTGATGACAGCTTTGCACACTCTTGGCATTCTCTCAACCAGCTTCATGAGGTAGTCACCTGGAATGCATTTCAATTAACAGGTGTGCCTTCTTAAAAGTTAATGTGTGGAATTTATTTCCTTCTTAATGCATTTGAGCCAATCATTTGTGTTGTGACAAGGTGGGGGGGTTATGGCAAGAACAGCTCAAATAAGCAAAGAGAAACGACAGTCCATCATTACTTTAAGAACTGAAGGTCAGTCAATATGGAACATTTCAAGAACTTTGAAAAAATCTTCAAGTGCAGTCGCAAAAACCATCAAACGCTATGATGAAACTGGCTCTCATGAGGACCACGACAGGAATGGAGGACCCAGAGTTACCTCTGCTGCAGAGGATAAGTTCATTAGAGTTACCAGCCTCAGAAATTGCCGCCCAAATAAATGCTTCACAGAGTTCAAGAAACAGACACATCTCAACATCAACTGTTCAGAGGGGACTGTGTGAATCAGACCTTCATGGTTGAATTACTGCAAAGAAACCACTACTAAAGGACACCAATAAGAAGAAGAGACCTGCTTGGGCGAAGAAATACGAGCAATGGACATTAGACCTGTGGAAATGTGTCCTTTGGTCTGGAGTCCAAATTGGGGATTTGTGGTTCCATCCGCTGTGTCTTTGTGAGACGCGGTGTGGGTGAACGGATGATCTCTGCATGTGTATTTCCCACTGTAAAGCATGGAGGAGGAGGTGTGATGGTGTGGGGGTACTTTGCTGGTGACACTGTCTGTGATTTATTTAGAATTCATGGCACACTTAACCAGCATGGCTACCACAGCATTCTACAGCGATACGCCATCCCATCTGGTTTGGGCTTAGTGGGACTATCATTTGTTTTTCAACAGGACAATGACCCAACACACTTCCAGGCTGTGTAAGGGCTATTTTGCCAAGAAGGAGAGGGATGGAGTGCTGCATCAGATGACCTGGCCTCCACAATCCCCCGACCTCAACCCAATTGAGATGGTTTGGGATGAGTCGGACCGCAGAATGAAGGAAGAGCAGCCAACAAGTGCTCAGCATATGTGGGAACTCCTTCAAGACTGTTGGAAAAGCATTCCAGGTGAAGCTGGTTGAGAGAATGCCAAGAGTGTGCAAATCTGTCATCAGGGCAAAGGGTGGCTATTTGAAGAATCTGAAATATAATATATATATATATATATATATATATATATATATATATATATATATATATATATATATATATATAACACTTTTTGGTTTACTACATGATTCCATATGTGTTATTTCATAGTTTTGATGTCTTACCTATTACTCTACAATGTAAAACATAATAAAAATAAAAAAAAGTAGGTGTCCAAACTTTTGACTGGTAGTGTATATACAGTGGGGAAAAAAAGTATTTAGTCAGCCACCAATTGTGCAAGTTCTCACACTTAAAAAGATGAGAGAGGCCTGTAATTTTCATCATAGGTACACGTCAACTATGACAGACAAATTGAGAGAAAAAAATCCAGAAAATCACATTGTAGGATTTTTAATGAATTTATTTGCAAATTATGGTGGAAAATAAGTATTTGGTCAATAACAAAAGTTTCTCAATACTTTGTTATATACCCTTTGTTGGCAATGACACAGGTCAAACGTTTTCTGTAAGTCTTCACAAGGTTTTCACACACTGTTGCTGGTATTTTGGCCCATTCCTCCATGCAGATCTCCTCTAGAGCAGTGATGTTTTGGGGCTGTCGCTGGGCAACACGGACTTTCAACTCCCTCCAAAGATTTTCTATGGGGTTGAGATCTGGAGACTGGCTAGGCCACTCCAGGACCTTGAAATGCTTCTTACGAAGCCACTCCTTCGTTGCGCGGGCGGTGTGTTTGGGATCATTGTCATGCTGATAGACCCAGCCACGTTTCATCTTCAATGCCCTTGCTGATGGAAGGAGGTTTTCACTCAAAATCTCACGATACATGGCCCCATTCATTCTTTCCTTTACACGGATCAGTCGTCCTAGTCCCTTTGCAGAAAAACAGCCCCAAAGCATGATGTTTCCACCCCCATGCTTCACAGTAGGTATGGTGTTCTTTGGATGCAACTCAGCATTCTTTGTCCTCCAAACACGACGAGTTGAGTTTTTACCAAAAAGTTCTATTTTGGTTTCATCTGACCATATGACATTCTCCCAATCCTCTTCTGGATCATCCAAATGCACTCTAGCAAACTTCAGACGGGCCTGGACATGTACTGGCTTAAGCAGGGGGACAAGTCTTGCACTGCAGGATTTGAGTCCCTGGCGGCGTAGTGTGTTACTGATGGTAGGCTTTGTTACTTTGGTCCCAGCTCTCTGCAGGTCATTCACTAGGTCCCCCCGTGTGGTTCTGGGATTTTTGCTCACCGTTCTTGTGATCATTTTGACCCCACGGGGGGAGATCTTGCGTGGAGCCCCAGATCGAGGGAGATTATCAGTGGTCTTGTATGTCTTCCATTTCCTAATAATTGCTCCCACAGTTGATTTCTTCAAACCAAGCTGCTTACCTATTGCAGATTCAGTCTTCCCAGCCTGGTGCAGGTCTACAATTTTGTTTCTGGTGTCCTTTGACAGCTCTTTGGTCTTGGCCATAGTGGAGTTTGGAGTGTGACTGTTTGAGGTTGTGGACAGGTGTCTTTTATACTGATAACAAGTTCAAACAGGTGCCATTAATACAGGTAACGAGTGGAGGACAGAGGAGCCTCTTAAAGAAGAAGTTACAGGTCTGTGAGAGCCAGAAATCTTGCTTGTTTGTAGGTGACCAAATACTTATTTTCCACCATAATTTGCAAATAAATTCATAAAAAATCATACAATGTGATTTTCTGGAATTTGTTTTCTCAATTTGTCTGTCATAGTTGACGTGTACCTATGATGAAAATTACAGGCCTCTCTCATCTTTTTAAGTGGGAGAACTTGCACAATTGGTGGCTGACTAAATACTTTTTTCCCCCACTGTACAGTTGAAGTCGGAAGTTTACATACACTTAGGTTGGAGTCGTTAAAACTCGTTTTTCAACCACTCCACAAATTTCTTGTTAACAAACTATAGTTTTGGCAAGTCGGTTAGGACATCTACTTTGTGCATGACACAAGTAATTTTTCCAACAATTGTTTACAGACAGATTATTTCAATTATAATTCACTGTATCACAATTCAAGTGGGTCAGAAGTTTGCATATACTACGTTGACTGTGCCTTTAAACAGCTTGGAAAATTCCAGAAAATGATGTCATTGCTTTAGAAGCTTCTGATAGGCTAATTGACATAATTTGAGTCAATTGTATTTCAAGGCCTACCTTCAAACTCAGTGCCTGTTTGCTTGACATCATGGGAAAATCAAAATAAATCAGCCAAGACCTCAGAAAAAAGATTGTAGACCTCCACAAGTCTGGTTCATCCTTGGGAGCAATTTCCAAATGCCTGAAGGTACCACGTTCATCTGTACAAACAATAGTACTCAGGTATAAACACCATGGGACAGCGCAGCCGTCATACCGCTCAGGAAGGAGACGCGTTCTGTCTCCTAGAGATGAACGTACTTTGGTGCGAAAAGTGCAAATCAATCCCAGAACAACAGCAAAGGACCTTGTGAAGATGCTGAAGGAAACAGGTACAAAAGTATATATATCCACAGTAAAACAAGTCCTATATCGACATAACCTGAAAGGCAGCTCAGCAAGGAAGAAGCCACTGCTCCAAAACCGGAGTAAAAAAGCCAGACTACGGTTTGCAACTGCACATGGGGACAAAGATCGTACTCTTTGGAGAAATGTCCTCTGGTCTGATGAAACAAAAATAGAACTGTTTGGCCATAATGACCATCGTTATGTTTGGAGGAAAAAGGGGAAGGCTTGCAAGCCGAAGAAAACCATCCCAACCATGAAGCATGGGGGTGGCAGCATCATGCTGTGGGGGTGCTTTGCTGCAGGAGGGACTGGTGCACTTCACAAAATAGATGGCATCATGAGGAAGGAAAATTATGTGGATATATTGAAGCAACATCTCAAGACATCAGTCAGGAAGAAAGCTTGGTCGCAAATGGGTCTTTCAAATGGACAATGACCCCAAGCATACTTCCAAAGTTGTGGCAAAATGGCTTAAGGACAACAAAGTCAAGGTATTGGAGTGGCCATCACAGAGCCCTGACCTCAATCCTATAGAAAATGTGTGGGCAGAACTGAAAAAGCGTGTGCGAACAAGGAGGCCTACAAACCTGACTCAGTTACACCAGCTCTGTCAGGAGGAATGGGCCAAAATTCACCCAACTTATTGTGGGAAGCTTGTGGAAGGATACCCGAAAAGTTTGACCCAAGTTAAACAATTTAAAGGCAATGCTACCAAATTCTAATTGAGTGTATGTAAACTTCTGACCCACTGGGAATGTGATGAAAGAAATAAAAGCTGAAATAAATCATTCTCTCTACTATTATTCTGACATTTCACATTCTTAAAATAAAGTGGTGATCCTAACTGACCTAAGACAGGGAACTAGGATTAAATGTCAGGAATTGTGAAAAACTGAGTTTAAATGTATTTGGCTAAGGTGTATGTAAACATGCGACTTCAACTGTATAGAGACACTTTTTTTGACCAATCAGAAGTAGTGCTAGTTAGTTCATGAATATTATTATTATTATTATTATTATTATTATTATTTTTGCTGCTATAGGAGTGGTAGTGAATGTCCTCTCAATTAAATAGGAAAACGTTAATATTAGGCTACATTAATATACATCTCTCTCTCACTCTAGAAGAGGGAACATCCTCTATAAAAGTTATTCTGGGGAACTCAACTAAGCAGAATTCTACTTACAGTCTGTTGCCATGCCGACAGTGATGCACTTCTTGAAGCGACATTCCTGGCACTGGTTCCTGGTCACCTTATCGATGATGCACTTCGCCTCGTACTTACACGCGTACGTCGGGTTCAGGTTCTTCTGGATCGTCCGCCGGAAGAAACCCTTTGGAAAAAAGATACAAGGAATGTTTGAAAGGTAATGTTTGGAACACAATGATCTGCAACATTCTATCTGTCTAATGTCAGGTTGGTGGCAGTGGTAATGGAATATTTCTTTGAATTAAATTATCATCTCTTTCCATCAACTGAATTTCTCCTTTTTAATGGATACTAGTGAAACCATGTTAGGGAGTTGTGTTGGTATTATTACATGTTATCATTACATATGTCCACTGTTGCTATTACCTTGCAACCTTCACAGGTGATACAGCGATAGTGATATCCTGTAGCTTTGTCCCCACATACCACACATAACTCGTCCTTGTCCAGGTAACTAGGGATGTACCCTAACAGGAAAGAAAGATATAACATGTAAACATACCATATAGGCCAGTGACGATCCGTTAACAGGTACACAATTACCTGAATACAAACAGCATTCAGAAACAACCAATTATGTATGCCAGGAATGCCTGTATTCATTTACTACTGTCTGACCACAAGCAGACCACTGAACATGATCTTTTTAGACACAGCAACTTAGAAACAAAGAGGTGAATTCCAACAGTTGTGTTTAAGATTCACATAAATCATTTAAACACAAAGTTCTCCAAAAGGGCCTAAAGCGTGTAGGGGGGGGGGGGGGGGGGTCAATAAATGATAAATACGAGTCGAGGGGAGTCAGAGCCAAGCCATCAACCGGCACGCTCCAGCCTTCTGTTACCCTGTCTGTAGGACTGCTCCCTGCACCAGCAATCAATACACACACACACACACACACACACCACACACACACAAAGCACAAAATGCAACAGGTCCTCTGGCTCAAGGTCAGTTCTGGCACGGTATGAAACCTTAGGTCAACTTGGATTTATTGTAATTAGTCCAAACTAAAGCCTGATCGAAGGAGCTCAGGTCGTCAAGACAATTAATATCCACCCGTAGCAAACCATTATGACAGACGCTAAGAACACTGTTCAGGACAATAAAATGCAGAGACATACTGACAGTCAATTCATACATTTGTCAACACGTTTTTCAAAGTCCATGGACTCGTTATATGTTGGTGGCCTGAATTTGCCTTTAAACTTCAACAGTTTGAAAGAAAATATATAGTACATAACTACAAACTGTGCTAATGGTTTGACTTACCAACCGATAAACTCACAGACCTCAGTGTTCCGGTGTTAATAACCATATAGTATCACAATCACTACGATTATAGTGTATCAAGAGTCACTGCGATATTATATATACACATACGAGCAAGGTTCAACACTGCAGCGGTTTGCAACGAGATAAAGCACTGTTCAAGCCAAACTAGACTAACATACATCAAATACCGTTACACACTACATACAATACAACAATATCAGGTCAGATGTAGTCAATCAACAGGAGATATTTGTGCACCTGTCGCACGTCTCTACAACTGCACTCCAACACAAGCTGTCAGGCCGTCACCCCATCACGCCACCGGGTTAGTCCCTACCTTTCAGCTTGTCAAGCCATCACACTATCCCTAGTTACTTCCAGGTTGTACTGCCATAAGCGCTACTCCCTAGTCCCAATTCCCTACCTTTCTTGTTAACCTCTTGCATCCACTGCATGTGGGAGAAGTCAGGCTTCCCCTCAGAATAGTAGTCAGGCTGGTGGTGGTAGTGGCTGAGAGGCACTTCCATGTTGCAGTATTCACTTTTGAACACAGGGTTGGGTCCTGGGTAGGAGCAGGCATAGGGCTGGCTTGGGGGCCAAGCCTGCTCCATGCAGGGAGGGTGGATGGGGTTCATGGGCTGGGGCTCACAGTATCCCCCGGGACCATCACCTCCATACATGCAGTATTCCCCACCGCCCTGCAACGGGTAGCCACCGCCCACGCCATGAGGCATCTCATACATGTCAGGCATGCAGTAGTTCATGATAGCCAACAACTGCACCGAAGGCAGGTAGGCACATACAAAAGGTTGACGAAGGCCCCCCCCCCAAAAAAAAAGACTGGAGACAATGTTACGTATCGATTCAGCGCTAAGTGTAATTAATCCAGCGTTAAGTTAAAGTCGTCTAAATGAATAATTAAACGATTGATATGGAGACGATAAGAAAGATGTGTACGGAGCAGGTAGGGGCTACGTTGGTAGAATGGGTCTTATATACCGAGTCCTTGGCCCACCCCTACAGTACAACATCTAGCACCTGCCCCGCCCGTCCTCGCCCGGCCCCACCCCACCCACACAGTGCCCTCTCAGCCGAATGGGGCAGGAGCTTTATGACGACGTGGGGTTTCTAATCTGACTCTGTAAATCCTAGAAGTGGAACAGACAGACAGCAACAAGATGGTGATGTTCTCGCCGATTAAAGCCTTGAGTGATGTGATGTGTCTTACCAACCACCACCACCTAGTCATACGCATATGGTGCTGTGTCTCACCATCCACCACCACCTAGTCATACACATATGGTGCTGTGTCTCACCAACCACCACCACCTAGTCATACACATATGGTGCTGTGTCTCACCATCCACCACCACCTAGTCATACACATATGGTGCTGTGTCTCACCAACCACCACCACCTAGTCATACACATATGGTGCTGTGTCTCACCAACCACCACCACCTAGTCATACACATATGGTGCTGTGTCTCACCAACCACCACCACCTAGTCATACACATATGGTGCTGTGTCTCACCAACCACCACCACCTAGTCATACACATATGGTGCTGTGCCGCTGGCGGAAGTTAACAACAAAGACAGAACAAAATAACAAAATAATCCGAAATACTTTTCTATATGAATAAGTAGTAGCTGACAGTCTCGGTAGAAGTTTAGTTTGGTTTGGTTCGTCAACACCTGAGGAGTCAATTTAATTTGACAATTAGATCTGGATGATCAACAATATCATTCACATTACAGTTAAAATCTTGGAATAATCGGGTTTAGCCTTCTTAGGCCTATTTCAGTCATTTATGTCACGCATAAACTCAGAACACCTGTCTTTCTTGAACAAACATTAATTAACATCAATCAACATTAATCCCACTTCAACAAACTTTTCACTGGTAGTAAAGTCAAACTTAGACTTCACTTCAGACTAGAATAGAATAGTTAATTTACAAGGGTTAATTTAATAAGATGATCACCACACTGTAATCCATGATGGACAACACAACCCAGCTAAAAACAACTTGCTTACTAGGTCAGTGAAACATCAGAAACTTCTATAATTTATTAGAAACAACTGCATTCCACTAGTTACATTAATTACTGATTACAATCTAGCAATTACCTTTAACAAGTGTATTAGAATGCTAATATTAGAGTAGCTAAGTGCAATGGTTCAAGATCAATATAAAATGATCAAATCTTCTGGTGTTGATCTTCTGAGTCAGAATATAATAAATACATAAAAATATTTATTCTCTGATACTCTGATATAGCTTGATCAACAAGTTGAATTTCAATGGGAGGCGCCAAGTGCCAAACCACCTTGACGCAAATATGGCAGAGGGGAAGGCGATACCGATATTTTCTAATTCAAAGTAGATGGACTAACTAAGTAAAAAAACATATGCTTGATCAAACTTAAGGTTATTTTCTTGCTAAGATATGATTGTGTAGACGAACAAAGGTTACTTTTTATGAGAACGGAAACACACTAAATGTTGCCGGGTTATTTTCTTAATCTTATTTAGTTATTTAGATTTTAGGTCAATGTCAATGTGCCTTAAACACACATTGGTAAAAAAAAAAGAAAAAAAATATTGAAAACGGAACAATTTAATAATAGCATCGAGTAACTCACCCAAATCATCAACCAACCACAAACATCTTAGACATTTTTTGAGTTTCAAAAATAATAATAATGTAATAATAATAAGGTCCAAATAACGATATCAGAGTTTCATGTATCGTTTTACCGTTTTTATATTATTCAGTTTAACATTTGAATTTGTTTTACTTAACATTAGGTCTAGTGGCCAAATAATTGCTAGATGTCTACATGTGAAAAATAAGAGCTATGTTTTAGGGATTTCAAATTGAGAGAATAAATAAATTTTATATCAATTAAGTCCAAACAAGTCAGTCAAAAAAACAAAACAAAATACCTAAATTGATTATCATTAGTTGAGCAATGACCACCAAGCATCCTGCCCTACAAAATACCAATAGCATATAAAGTAGGACTACACAGAGCTCTTTCTTAATCTGCGGTTCACCTTGTCCCCATTTACAAGCAAATTTTTTTTTAGAAATAATCGAATTCAAATCTTAAAGAAATTGATTTGTTAATTAGCCATTGTTTCCCAAAAATGTTCTTTATTTATATGAATAAATAATGTATCATTATATTAATCAAATATTGTCACAAAGATGGCCGTTACATATTTTATTTATTTAGTTTCTGATGTTTTGTGTGTAAATGTTTATATCTGGTTTTCTGATCCACGCCCCTACCTTTTATTTAAGGTCTCTGTGACCAACAGATGTATATCTGTATTCCTAGTCATGTGAAATCCATAGATTAGGGCCTAATTAATTTATTTCAATTGACTGATTTCTTTAAATGAACTGTAACAGTAAAATCTGTGAAATTGTTGCATGTTGAGGTTTTATTTTTGTTCAGCGTACTTATTAAGATTTAATACATTATTGCATCTAATTCATTCAAATCTAATAACCACAAATAATTGTAAATGTATCATTTGGGGCATAATGTTTTTACATAATTGACCATTGATTATTTTGCCCACTTTTCGGTCGGTTTCAACTTAGAAATATTGAAATATATGCATTCTTTCTGATTGGCTTTAACGGCATTCTAGAGCGTGCATTATTTAAGTGATAATGCCAGAGAAGCCGGTGTTTGGAGGATATATTGGCACGGGTGTTGTTAGGCCCGAGGCGAAGTCGATTTACATATTTTCATCGTCCCATGAGATATAGTCCCGACACAAATCTAAGGTTGCTACCCAAGCCGGCTGGTTGTTTGTTCTATCAGTTCGGTTGCCAGAGACGCGACCCAGTCGTTAAGTCTTTCTGTTCTGTATCTATGGACGCGACCCATTCGTTCTAAATGTTCCATTGCCATACTGGCTGGCAATGTTCTTATCCCTTGCTTGCTAGCTAGCCAACTACGGCTAACTTACAGTCACGTGAAACAGTGCAGCCAGAATAACAGCAAATTCACTGCATTTGCGTTTGTTTAAGCTGTTTTCAAGTGACATTTATTTGGATACATACATAACAATGAACTAATGATGCACAATTTTGCCTGGCATAGAAAATGTGCTCTCTCGTCAGGACACTGTTGTTCAGAGTAGCTAGCCAACAACACAGCTAACACAATCACTTCAAACTGAAGCAGGAAAGACTGCAAACTAGCTGCATTTCATTTTGTTTTACCTGTTTTCTATTGACATTTCTTTGTATATATCCATACAAATTATGCCAGCTGATTCATGAGTTCGACTGGTTGAGAAACGCTGCCTGCCTGTCTGTCTCGTCCCAACTCCCAACACTTTCATTACTATGGGACAGCTGGAGATCGAATTTCAATATTGAAACAATATTGCAAATGTCGGAGAGACAGACAGCAAGGTTTATACAAATCTCCGCTGTTGAAAACCAAATGCTAGTCTAAAAGAAATGGGAGATAATGTTTAGATGATTTTTATAGTGGAGATAAAGTTTATAAATTGCCTGGCTGAGCTGATGAGACAGTGGATTGTGCAGTGAGATGGAACAGAGTAAATAGGCATTTCAACGTCATAGCTTTAGCCGGTGGAATAGACACCGGCTGGAATGTGGACAATCAGCATCCAGGATTAGACCGTTGTATAATTCCCTATAACGCACAGTATATTTGCACGGTAGAATTCAATGGCTATAGTTCATTCTTACATGTTCTGTTTGAGCTGCTTTTGAAAGCAGAAGTTGAATTGAAAACATTATTGGCATTGTTGTATTCAATTTTCATAATAGCAACCTAGGACTGATGGTTTGGTTAGCAAGGCAACTACTGTAGCTCTCTAGTAACCTTGGTAACTACTTCAGTGGATGTGGAACACATTTCTAGCGGTAAATGTGTTAAATTATAGCCATGGTATAAAAGGGATAATCAACTCGGGGCTCTATGCGTTCTCTGGAAAATAATACAACTCTGTGGAAGGTTAGTTCCACTCTGCTAGCGCGTTGTGGAACACATCTTCCATGTTGTTCATTATTTTCCAGAGAACGCATAGCCCCTGGTTGATTATCTCTTACGTGTTGAAGCTTGAATAAGTTTAGATTATTCATGACATAAATGCAATCATATTTACAAACAAAATAACAATTTCTATATTTTAATTACTAGACTAATGAATCAAGAGATAAAAGCGCATATAAGGAGATTCTGAACATACGTATCCACGTGACCAGCCATCCTATCGTAACCAGTGACACACCACCGGAGTTGGGCTCAGACGACTGTGGCTAAGACTGCAACAGGATCAACACATAACAGCTGCTAAAAGTAAGGCCCTTTGAGGCAAATCTGCTCCTAAAGAGGCCCTTGATACCAGTTTAACTTTTTGATGAGGTGAAGTCCTCCGTGGCCCTTAATCTCATTCGTGTTTCTTAGAGGACTCGAGACAGAAACTGTCAAGCGTCTATCAGAAACTATAACTCCAGTCAATACTCTGCAATCTGTTCTAGATAAGTGTATTATTCTCAGTTTGGGGTGTTTTGTTTCCCTTTTTTTTCCATCTGTCTTTTTTTCATGTTATTTGTATCTAGTGTAACTATTTTTTAATCGGAGGAATCGATCGGTTTAGAGCTAGACCTTTTTTTTTACCTGATGTCTGGGTGCGTTATACAACCCAAATCTTATCAGAATCAGAATCACCTTTATTCGCTGAGTACATTTACATATAA